ATGTCGTTGGAATCACTTTCAGAAAGATTTTTTTTCCAGCTGATGAACGATACAAACATTGACAGCTAGAAAATTTAAAGCGGCAGACAAGCTCTCGCTTAGAATAAACAGACGTTTTATGACATATAACATTCTGTAGTGAATCCATATGTTTTTGTAAGAAAAATATCCATATTTCAAACCTAATAAACACTTTTCTCTCACTTCTGTTATCTTTCATATGTGGATGGCTTTCCAACAGGCTATGCCAAGCCAGTGTTATCATTTATTATCACTTTTTCTTTGTGTGTCCTCAAGGTTATAATATGGTCTGCCTTGATCTGCTGACAACTGTATTGTATTCAGTAGCATGAAAGTGCTGTCAAACTTCAATTAAACCTTTCATTTATTGTCTCTGTATGACTGCAGATCGTTTTTACAACCTGAGGTCACTATACTTTTATGCATCGTTCTCCGATAACAGACAGTCACTTAATTGGATCATAATTAAAGCTCATGTAATTCAGTTCCTAATGAGATTAGTCTTCCAGCACATCAGTTTTTCCAAGTCTATATGAGATGCCGATCAGGCGAGGCTCTAAATGGAATATACTTATCATGTTTATATTTTTTGGAGTGTCAGAAGAAATGAAGACTCACATTAAAATCTGAAAAGGGTTAACTGGCTCCAGTGAGCTCCAGGCACCCTTGTTTTCCACTCATGTTGGCTTGAGAAACGTCTTCCTCCTGTAATGCTGCACGTCTCCGTCAAAGGCTGTGCCAGTCCACATGAACTGCCCTTTATAATGGCAGAAATGCCATTAATGGAATAAAATGCTCCACTTGTTGTTTTGGAACAGCTAGTTTTTGTTCCATCACCTTACATCAGAGCTTCTTGAGAATTACGTAGGTCCTCAGTCAGACCGGTGCAAGCCTTTTCAAAAGCTCTGTTAGAACTGCAGGCTGACTTAGTACTCTTGTTTGGGCAGCAAGCTAGAGTTTTGAATGACACATTCACTACTACTCTATCTACTATTCTGCTATTAAAACCTACTGCAGACTCTAAAAATAAAATGTTGTCATGGAACAGAAGAGCAATCCTGCGTGCAAATGTGCAAGCGTATTGATGTTTTTCTACTATTGTAGACCTTTGTCGTCCACATAATCAGTAGAAAATCTCTAGTAGACAGGCAATGCAAATGAGACTCTGTCATGTTGTTACTGGGTCATTGAAATTTGACCATAACTGTAGTTTAATGGCCACCAGGAAATCCATCATTCTGTTGAGAGTCTAGACTTTGGCTTCCATATGTTTACACACACACACTGTTTTGCATTTTGGACTGAAACCCCTACTGGGGACAGCTGTATGTCCAGATTCTGAGTATTTAAAATTAATTATTGTTAAACTGATTTTTTTGGAACTTAGTAAGCATGACCATAAGAGGTTCTCTGGATCTCAGCTCTGTCACCATGTATTATCTGTGCCATTTCAAAGGGTCGGGACCAAAATAAACCAGCTATGCAATTGAAGAACAGGACAGATTTAAATCAGTGACACATGAAATTCCACTTCACACAGTATTCATGAGAGTATTCAAAATCCTCAGGTGAAAACATTGTTTTCCCATTTGATTATTAGAACCTTGATTGGGTTATGAAGTTGTGGCCTAATGGTTAGAGAGTCGGACTTGTAACCCAAAGGTTGTGGGTTCGAGTCTCGTATCGGCAGGGATTGTAGGTGGGGGGAGTGAATGTACAGCGCTCTCTCTCCCACCTTCAATACCACGACTGAGGTGCCCTTGAGCAAGGCACCGAACCCCCAACTGCTCCTCGGGGGACTAATTCTGAGTATGGGTCACCATACTTGGCCACATGTCACGTCACTTTCATGTATTATAGCATTATGGATTTCCTGACATTTCATCACTTGTTTCAACCATAACTTTTATTGACTACAGTTGCTCACAGTTGCTTTTTAAATTATTATTAGAATAATAACAATTCTGCTGCATTAAATCACCTGCTTAAAAGACACGCCATTTATTTGTTGTAAATAGTTGGAAACAACAATTAAGGAAGATTTATGCTGTCTACTAAGGGGCCATTCACACAGAATGCATTTTTACATTCCACTGCACTGCCTGCTTTTCCATAATTTATCCATGTAAACACTAGACGGGTGTGATTGACCAATGTGTTTGTGTCTTTTGCAGCTTGTTGTGCATGACACAGTGTTTCAAAAATGGGCTCAAGTTAAAAGTAGTTTAACATGGAGAAAAAACCCCCCAACATCTCTAGACCTTCCGGATCATTAATTTTATGAAATAAAGCATTAACTGAAATATATACTTAATATATACAATATTTTATTGAAATATATAAAAAAACTCTCTCATTTTCATTAAGTTGAAGTACTAAAATAAATAAAACATAATAAAAAACAGACATATTAAAAATATATGATTATGAAATATTTTTATAATTAATTATTATTTTATAATATTATGATTATATTTTGTAAATATGAAAAATACAAAATGTATTAACTAATATTATAATAATACCAAATGATACTAAAATAACAGTGGATTGATTATGTAATTATTTTTATTAAAATATCAATTGACAATCTAATAAAATTTGATTGTAAAATACACCTGATCCTTTTCCATCCTATTGGTTCTCTGTTTTTTCTGTCCTAATAGCCTCTTTCATATAAATGGTAATGTTTTATAATACTTTTTCCACATCTTTTGTTTAGTTCCATTTGTTAAGATGGCTGTCTGTCAAAATGGTAGTGATTATTATTAAGATTAAACAGTCACATCCACAGCAATGTTATGCAGTCACTCAGTTAAATCATAATTTCTTCAGGGTAAGGTGGCCAAAAGTAATTTTGCAGAGTTGATTCTGTGAAATGAGATGCTGTTTTTTTTTTTTTAGGATAAACTATATCCATATGCAGCCAATCACAGATTTTAACTGGAATAGACAAAGTACATTACAGTGGCACATGTGAACTGCGACTTGCTGAAGGACATCCATAAAAGACGAAGTCCAAACACATGATGTTCTCTTAGACTTTTTTTCTTTCCATTTGGTAGACTTTTTTGAATATATTTTAATCACACATGGTTTGTAACGTGTTTTGCATGCAGCACATCATCACAGTCCAATTCACCAGCAATCCTGAATTGTATCCTGAAGTTTCTGTCAAAAACAGATGTTCTGAATGCTTCTGATAGCATCATATTAAATAGTTGTTGTGATTGGCCTGCAGGTGGCTGGAGGTGGGTGGTGTTAACCTGACCTGTACGCAGTATTGGGTGATTTATCTGCGGGTGCTGCAGGAGGCCATCTGGCCTGGAGGAAGTCTGCCGGCTCAAACCAGACCCCAACGCAGCCAGCAGCAGAAAGACGAGAGCAGAGCGCAGGCTCTGCAGTGCCTTATGAAACTACTGCCAGGTGAAACGCCACATAATATGTACATATATATACATGTTCAAAAGTGGAATCTTGTTTTAAAGAAATTAATGCTTTTATTCAGCAAGGACACATTAAATTGATACAAAGTGGCAGCAAAGACATTTGTCATTTCTATTCATCAAAGAATCCTGAAAAAATAAATCATGGTTTCCACAAAAATATTAAGCAGCACAACTGTTTTCGACATTGATTATAATAATAAATGTTTCTTGAGTGCCAAATTAGCATATTAGAATGATTTCTGAAGGATCATGTGACACTGAAGTCTGGAGTAATGACTACTGAAAATTCAGCTTGTCATAAATTACATTTTAAAATGTAATAAAATAGAGATCACTTTTTGTAAATTGTAATAATATTTTACAACATTACTGTTTTTATTGTATTTTACTCAAAAATTTAGCCTTTATGAGCATAAGAGACTTCAAAAACAGAACAAAATCTGTACCAAAATTATTATAGTTAACTAAAACTGAGCTAAAACTAAAACCATAAAAAAATGTTACTTAAAATAAAATAGAAAAACGTTTTCAGCTAATTGCCAAGGCAACATGTTAGTTTAACTTGATGTACTAAAATAACCAAAATTAAAACTGAAAAAAAACTATAGACATATAAAACTACTAAACATGACAAAAACAAAATAAAAAAAAACTTAAACTGTAACTAAAATTGATATAAAAATGGACATTAAAAAACTGATTTAAAATATTTATAATAACTGTAATAGGATCTAAATGATACTAATGTAAAATAACACTGTTACTGCTAGGTAGATCTGTACCTGCTATTACAAATAAAGAGATTTCCACTGACACACAATTAATGTCACGATACGCTGTCGGAAGGAATGATGGAGACGCGAAGTGGCATTAATAGTCTTTAATCATAGAAACATGGGATAATCCACATCAGGAACAGGGGTAAACACGTAATCTAACATGTAGACCCGACAAAGACAAAACGCAAAGGCTGAAACTTAAGTACATGGGGTAGTTAGAACTAACCAACAAGACACACCTGAATCAAATTAACCATCAATGAGAGGGAGAAACTGGGTCACGGAGCACATGGGGAGGGAAAACACAACAAAGACAGTCCAGGGGCGTGACATATCGCCCCCCTCCCAGAAGGCGCGTCCTCAAGGAACAACACAGGGAGGGACGGGTGGGACCTTGGGAGGAGGCTCGGGAGGAGGACGACAGACAGAGTCCAGGGCGGATCAGATGGAGGGAGGAGCCAGCGAGGAAACAGGAGGGACTTGGAGCAGCATGCGGTGCCAGGTAGGACCCAGGCCACAGCCATAATGGCTACCCACGGTGGAGCCGACGGAGAGAGGAAGGGCTGACGACTCCAGGGGCCCGACCAACAGAGGCGGAGGAGCCCGAGGCGGAGAGCCGATGAGCCAGGGTGACAATGAAGATCCGGAGAGCCGAGGTGGAACTGATTGCTCCGGCCACGAGGCGGAACTGATGGCTCCAGGGGCGGAGGTGGGGATCCAGAAGGCTGCAGTGGAGCCGGAGCGACAGGACCAAGGAGGAGCCGAAGGGATGGAAGAGCCTGACAGAGCCGAAGGGACGAGGTGCAGCCGGAGGAGTAACGGGCCGAGGCGGAGTCTGGGTCTCAGAGGCTAGAGGCGGAGACCAGGGATTCTGCAGCCACTGTGACGATGGAGGATGGCAAACCTGCGGAGCTCGCACCGCACTGATAGTGGGCTGAGGGTGAGCAGAGGGGCTGCCAAACGACAGCGGAGGAGGAGGCAGGAGCGGGCGGGAGGGCGGGCATTTGTGAGCCTCCGGGCTTTCAGGGCTTAACTCAGGAACGGGAGCCCTCTCTGGGCTGGACAGGGGAACAGGAGCTCTCTCTGGGCTAGACATGGAAACAGGAACTTTCTCTGGGCTAAACTCAGGAACGGGAGGGACAGAGTACACCGACAGAATAATCCAATTGATTAAGTTTTCCTCAGCTTTGCATTCCCCCAAATCCTTACTCAGCTTACCCTCAGCCACGGTGCAGGGAGCAAAGCTCCTCTCCGTGCTCTCTCTGTCCACCATTTTCTCCCTCGTGGCGAGCTCTGTTGCCAGCTCTCACACCTGGACTGACGTCATGAGCAGCTCCGGCTCTGCGGCGATCTTCAGCTCTGTCGCTCCATGCGGCGAAGGCTCGTCGGTCGCAACGATTTCGGGCTCTCCGTCAACGGTGGGCTCGGGCTTGAGGTCAGCGTAGCGGGGAGATGGTGGGCTGGGCTCTGGGTCTGGCTTTGATCGAGGGTAGACAATCTTCAGACACCGGATGATTACTTCCCTCCAGCTCAGTCCAATGGTGTCTGGGAGGTCTATGGGGCGATGGTAATTTGCCCCGAGCTTGCTGAACTCAACCACATACCCAAAGAGGGGCAGGTCCTTACGGGCGAGGGAGGTAAACTTAGCGGCAAGGGGATCCATGGAAACACGGGAAAACAGAAAACAAAACACTGTAAAAAAACTCGGAAACATAAAACAGGGGGAAACACGCAGCTAACTGTATTTGGTCGTGTCTTCTGTTATGATACGCTGTCGGAAGGAACAATGGAGACACGAAGTGGAATTAACAGTCTTTAATCATGGAAACACAGGGTATAATCCACATCAGGAACGGGTAAACACGTAATCCAACATGTAGACCTGACAAAGACAGAACGCAAAGGCTGAGACTTAAATACATGGGGTAATTAGAACTAACCAACAAGACACACCTGAATCAAATGAACCATCAATGAGAGAGGAAAAACTGGGTCACGGAGCACATGGGGAGGGAAAACACAACAAAGCCAGTCCAGAGGTGTGACAATTAAAGGATAGATCTTATGTAAATGGAATAATCTGACAATTTGAGTTTCCTCTTTAAGTGACTGATTCAGAATAAAAAAAGCAACTGAATGCATTGTTAACTATGAAGAAAATTAAGAGATCAATCATGCGTAAATACTTTAATCAATTGAATTTTAACTTCTAAGTGAACATTTTCTGTTCAAATTCTTTTTAGCATTTGGTTTTGGATGGAATGAGTAAAATTAGAGCTTGGAAAATCAAGCTTGCAAATTTTGCAATCAAGCTTACCCTGGAAAATAGGACTTACAAATAACTGTGTGATTCAGACAAACAGCTGTTCAGTAACTCAACACCATCGCTCAGGAGATGAATCAATGAATCAGAACAAAACCAACAGAAGTTAAGGGGAATGCACCTCGCAACAGAAAATGACTGTTCTTCATCAGTAGTTTGGTGCAGATTTTGACCGAGTTTGCTTGTGTGGTTCTGTGTTTTTACAGATCTGATCTCTGATATGCTGGGCTCTGAGAAGTACAAGATATCTTGGCAGACGGTTGTGGATTCTTTTCAGGACCCCACCATAAACAGGTGTGTTTGAGTGCTAAATAGACGGAGATAAAAATCAGCACCGCTGTCACTTATGCAACTCCAACACTCCTGTTTACATATTTATGGGGTTAATAACGTTGATTGTAAGTTACATATAGTTTGAAATATACAGCAAAAATGTTAGCATTTTGACTGTTTTTAACTGTATGTGGCTGCAAAAATGCATACATATTTCATGAGGCAAGCAGACATGGCCTAGTGAACATGTGGCTTTAATGGTTAAAGTGGTCAGGTTGTAATTTACTTGCATTATCTTGTTATGGCACAGTAAGTAAGAGATGCCAATAAAAGAATGCAGAAATGTGCTTTCACTAGATACATCTCTGTGCTCTGTTATCAGGGCGCCTCGTGACATCTTTGTAGACTGTTACCACAGTGGGATGCATGATTTATTCTCACCGGCTTGGATTTCGAGAAAGCTGCTCTGTGATTTACTAGAACATGCTGTAGTCTGCTGTAAATATCCAGATGAAGCAGATGCTGTTACAATCAGTTATACATTGACTCAATATCTTTTGCTTTATGAGCTGTGTCCTTATACAGAGGGGGGAAGGCAGCAAGGCATGTCCAAATCCAGTGTCTGCGTAACATCCTGTCCACTAAGAAACCTTAATCTGGTTGGTTTTGTCCACTGCTTTTGATAAACCAAAATGTTGTGGGATTTTTGTTGGAAAGAATAAGGATGGCATCTAAATGAGAGCTTTAAAGGAGTTAATTTATTCATAAATGTCAGTTTCCCCCCTCCCATTTTTATGAACTTATGACTCTGGATAGTGTGAGAGACTTATGGCTCATTTTGAAAGACTTTAAAAATGATTAAATATATAAAATATTGTTCTATTGTTCTATCATTCTATTAAATATATTATAAAATATATATTATTAATAATAAAAAATAAGATAATAAATAATTATAGTCATGCTACTTTAAATAGTAGTAGTAGTAATAATTTTAATCATTTACAGTATAAATAATTGTCAAATATATTTATGAATAATTCATTCATTATTAATTATATTATAGTATACTTATAATAGTATATTTTACATTTATTATAGTATATTCTAATATATTTGTTTATTTATTTATTTATTTATCTATCATTAATTAAGATAAATGCATTAATAAAAAAAGGTATTATTTATTCATGTATTAACTTATGAATATAAATATGAAAATTTATTTATTTCGTATTTACTAATTAATGACATTTCATATTTAATTAAATTAATGTATTATTTATTTATTTGATTTAATTCGGTATTATTTATTCATGTATTAACTTATGAATATAAATATGAAAATGTATTTATTTCGTATTTACTAATTAATGACATTTCATATTTAATTAAATTAATGTATTATTTATTTATTTGATTTAATTCCAGTAATTTAATTATTATTATTAATGTATGAATAAATGCACTTTAAATGTATTTATTATTAAGTAATAAATGTATTTTTATTTTATATTATATATGTGTGCTTTTGTACAGTTCATTTGTAAGTTCGCTGAATTTTAAACTGTTTTCTGGAATTTACAACAGAATGCATAATTCCCGATATTTCTTAGAAAGTGAATTTACTGTGTGAATTCCCACATGTATTAATTTATTTGGAATGCCAGAGAAGCACATGATCTGAATCCGAACATATCCTTATGCTAATTTGCGCTGCGCTTGGTAGATCGTGTTGGTCATTATGGAAATGAGATGTTGCTTCTGTTTCTTTTATTTGCGCATGGTCAGTATATCACCCGCAGAAATTTCCACGCCCATCTGCGCTGTGTTGGAACTGTTTTCTTGTACTAATTTGCCCTGCTTAGTAAATCTGTCCCTTAGTGTGATGATTTGCATACATTTTTACTGTCATAGGGATTATTGAGCTTGATATTACACTGCAAACATTTATAAATTTACCCTGCATAGAGTGCGATGTAACTGAAATGTTTCCAGACCCAGAAACGTAGTTAGGACATTGTTAAAACAGAAGCTACAAGAATGCTTTTGTATGCAAAGAAAACAAAAATAATGGGCCTCGTTCATGAAACATGAGCAGAACGAATTTTTGTGTAAATCGTTCGTAAAGCCGTTCTGACGAGATGCATTTTAAAATGTCACAAATTTTTGAAGTGCTTTCAGTTTCGTTTAGCATGTTACACTTGTTTGTATTAACTTATTCAAACTTTAATGTGATGAAGTTTGCATTTAAAACAGGAATACAGCTGGTACCAAAAAAAACATACTAAGATATATATTAAATGATGCAAACAAATCTACCAAAATGTGGACAGAAACTGTTTCTGCTTCTTTTGGTCTTATTTAGTTCAATTAGATTGTGTTTTGTTCAAAATTTTGGATTACATTTTTTTTCCGGCAATATGAGTGAAACAGCACTTTTCTCAATTAAAATTGTAATAAAATCACAAAAAAAATGTAATTCTATTGGAAGCATTTTGAATGAACAGAATTTGGTAGCACTTTATAAGGAAAGCTGATTTGAACATTCCATTGACATGCTGTTACCTTTATGTACCTGTCAATCTTTTATTTAATTTCATCCAGTTAATACGTTTTTTCTACTATTGAAGTGAAAACATCAGTGCGTCATCATGTTAATTCACATGGTCAGTTGGTAAAGTGCTTGCCAAAACGCTTCATATGCTAAATCCTCCTCATGCTAAATAATCCTGCACTGCTGTTCCATGATATGAGATTACAAGCATAGACATCTTGGAGCTAAACATCCAGATTTCCTAGAATTTAGTGGAAAACATTTCAAAACCTTTGTTCGAAGTTTTTGCCCTTGGAAAAAAGGTCTATCTCTAAAGTCAACAGAAATAGATTAACAAAGAGATGTTGGATTATTGAAATCAGATCAAGTATCTGGGACTAATTTTGGAGGTCGACAAAATGAGTTTGGCGAGTCTTAAGAGCGAGTAGTCATGACCTTTTACCTTGGAGATCACTGATGTCTATCACAACAAAATACAACCTAATAAATCCTGCTAATGCATCACTATACCAGTCACTAATGAACAGAGAAACATCTGCAGCTCTATCTATCTATCTATCTATCTATCTACATTGAACAAAATTATAAACGCAACACTTTTGTTTTTGCCCCCATTTTTCATGAGCTGAACCCGTCATACTATCTGTCTTTCTGTGTCATACTATCTGTCTGTCTGCCTGCCTGCCTGTCCGTCCGTCCGTCCATCCATTGTTGCATCCACCCGTCCATCCATCCGTCCGTCCATCCACCCGTCCATCCATCCGCCCGCCCGCCCGCCTTTATTGCATGATATCAAAAGGAAACCCTTTAAGCGGTCAACATGCATGACATCATTTGGTGTACAGGCACCAAACATCATTATACATTATGTAGCCCTCTCTTATACTTGCATAAGGATCTAAAATGTCTTTAACTGTCTAACCCTGAGTGCCACTGGCTCACTTACAGTTAGGCTGACATATAAACTGGTCAAGTGCTCTGAAAAGGACACTGACACTTAGCAGGAAATAACAGAAATAAAACCTGATCTCAGACAAAATGGAATTTTAAAAGATTAATGATCCTGAAATTCTTGTGTGTTTTATTCAGGAACTAGTGATGTTGCTCTAATGGACAATAGAAAAAAAGAAAAAAACAGTAAAACTTCCCATGGTTAAATACGAGCAAATCAAATGAGCAGGTCAAGTGCTTGTTTATATATTCGTTTTGTGTGTGTCTATTTAAAGTATTTAAAGTAAACACATGTGACATGTAAATACAAACTAACAATTTCAATAGTATCCCAATTAATTTGTTTACAAAATCCTTAAGCCATGTTCTTTTGACCCGTGCACTGTGAAATGTGTTTATATGCCAGTACATCCCCACAAGCAGTTCCTTCAAATATTGGGAAACACTCAGCAGAGTATTAATACCGTGATGTTAGACAACAGAGCACAGGAATGTTTCCTGAGGTGCCACAGACCTGGATCTGCACACTTTAGACTTACTCATCAGTGACGTCTTGTTCAGTGGAAGAAACAGACCTGTCATGAGGAGCACACTGTCAATATCCAGTGTCCACATTGACAAATAAAAAAGTTATGAACTAGTTTCTGATGGAATTTGTGTGGTAATGTGGCCCAGTCTCTAAAAATCTGGCCTTGTTACTGAATGATTGTAGGTTCAACCCCTATAAGGTGCAAAACACAAACGGTCACAGCCATGTAAATAAATAAGCTGTTCTTTTCCATACAATTAAAGTCAATGGTGAGCAAAAATTACTTGGAGGTAAAAAAAAAAAAAAGAACCAAAGGTTTTTTTTTTTCAACAAAGAAAGTTGTTGTTTTGAACCCCATTGACTTTGATAAAAATGGTTAAAACATTCTTTAAAATACACTACCATTTAAAAGTTTGTGGTTGGTATGTTTTATTTTTTTTATATAATAATTGTATATAATATAGTATCTTATGCTCACCAAGACTGCATTTATTGATCAAAAATACAGTAATATTGTGAAATATTACAATTTAAAATAAATGTTTTGTATTGTAATATTTTTAAAATGATTTTCCTGTGATCAAAGCTGAATTTTCAGCATCAATACTCCAGTCTTCAGTGTCACATGATCTTTCAGAAATCATTCTAATATGCTGTGCTCGAGTAACATTCCTTATTATTATTATTATTATTAGTGTTGAAAACAGTTGTATATTTGTGTGGAAATATTGATCAATTTGAAACATTCCTTGCTTAATAAAATTATTTTTCAATCATAAATAAATTAATTAATACTTGTATACTTGTAATACTTGAGTACATGACGACAGATTTTCCATTTTTGGGTGAACTCTTTAAATTTGTCAGATCTTAACACTACAGAATTGTCATATGACTTCAGGTGACTTGGAATATAGTGCATGAGTTGCATGGACTACGTTTATAATGAATTTTAAGCTTTTTTAAAGCTTGTCAGCCATTGGTCACCATCCACTTTCATTGTATGGAATAGAGTAGCTTGGACAGCCTTCTAAATATCTCCTTTTGTGTTCCACAGAATAAAGCAAGTCATACCATACTGGCACAACATAAGGGTGAGTAAAAGAGAAGAGAACTTACATTTTTACATTTTAAGACCCATGTTCCATTTAAATGCATGGGAATATACGGGAAGAAAATGTCAACACCTGGAGCAGCAGGTAAAGATGATGAAAAACCTGATGATTGTGATTATTTCTGGCTCAGGATTTAGATCTTTTAGGTCATTTCAAAATATTTGAGTTTGACTACATATTAAGTTACTTTCTGCTCATGCTGGCTAGTGGTAGCGTTCGTTCACTTCATCCATGTGGCCCCTGAGCACTTGAATCATTTAAACCAATAAATCATTAGCTGTAGGCTACTGCAACTACAGAAGGCCACTGATAATTGATCCCGCCTTTGTGTATTTTTGGCTATGTTAAACATTTTGGCCCTATGCATATTTATTTAATAATAATTTGATTTCACGATGAGGCCCCCGTTTCCCCCCTCTTAGTAAGCCTGTTGAGTAATTGAAGATTAGCATGAACCTCAAGCCCATCCTGGTCTTTGTGGAAAACACATGGCTTCACTGAGG